GCCCCCTCCCTGGCAGGGTTCAAGGCCAGGCTGGACGGGGCTTTGGGCAACCTGGGCTGGGGGAAGGTGGCCCTGCCCGGGGCAGGGGGTGGCACTGGACAATCTAAGGTCCCTCCCAGCCCAAACCCTTCTGTGCTTCTACAAAGCTCATGGATTCGGGGGCTGTCAGGAAGCCCCCGGGGTGCCAGCGGTTCGGGGGCTCCGCACGGGTCCGAGCCCTTCGGGAAGGCCGGTGGCCACCGTGTTCCCTGTGGCGGTGCCCGCGGCCTGGGGGGGGGCGGGCGGCCTCGGCGCTGCCACCGGGGCCTGTCTCCCCGCAGATGGTGAACGTCTACCGGGCGCACCAGCACTCCTGCTTCCTCTACCTGGGCAGCATCTTGGTGGACGAGTACGGCATGGAGGAGGGGTGCCGGCAGGGGCTCCTCGACATGCTGCAGGTGGGTGCTGAGTCCTGGGGGGGCACCTTCCCCCCGCACTAATTTAGAATCGTTTTGCTTGGAAAATAAACCTTGAAGATCATCGAGCGCAGGCGTTCACCCAGCACCAACCCGCGTCCCCAAGCGTCGGCGCGTCTTCTGAATACTCCCAGAGATGGTGCCTCCGCCTCTTCCAGCGCTTCACAACCCTTTTGGGGAAGAAATTTTTCCTACTATCTGACCTAAACCTCCTCTGGCACAACTTGAGGCTGTTTCCTCTCACCCTGTCACTTGTGGGGAGACCGACCCCCCCCTCTCTGCCCCCTCCTGGCAGGGAGTTGCAGAGGGCCAGGAGGTCTCCCCTCAGCCTCCTCTTCTCCAGACTGAACCCCCCCAGTTCCCCCAGTCATACAACTGGTTCTCCAGACCCTTCACCACCTTCATTTCTGTTCTCCTTTCCACCCGCTCCGAGCGGAGCCGTTTGCACCCAGCCCAGGGTGCTCCCCGCCCCTCTCTGCTCTCCCATCGATTGGTGGTTGGGTGACCACAACCAAGGAGGGGGGAGAAGTGTTGGGTTGGTTTTTTTTGGTTCAAGCAGAACCGGTGAGCAGCTTCTTCATGGGGAGGAGCGACCCAAACCTGACACGCCACGGCCTGACCCGCTCCGGTGCCATCCCTGCAGCGAGCAGGGGCCGTAATTACTGCTAATTCCTAATGAATTTCCCCACAACTTTTCTCCTAGGCGCTATGCATCCCCACCTTCCAACTCCTAGAGCAGCCCAACGGCCTTCAAAACCACCCCGACACCGTGGATGACCTCTTCCGACTAGCAGCCAGGTACCCACGCGCTCTGCTGCCGCGCGGGGACACCCCAACCCCCGCGGGGGGCGGTCCCTGGGTCACCAAAACGGGGTAAAAGACCTCAGTGATATTAATTTGATGTAGATAAGCAGCCACGCGCCTTCATGAGCGGCCGGGGGCCCAGGGGAGTCATCTCCCCAACAACACACACCTGACTTGGGTAGCATGCTGGTTATCTAGGACACATTCATAAATATTAATTAAATTCTCCTACACAAACATGCTAATTCCTGCAACTCATTTTCATATTCCGTCCCCTTTGCGGTCAGGCACGCGTGAGTCCTGAAACGAGTCAGGGGGCTGCTCTTGTGACCACCACAGACCACTGACCTTGTTTCACAGCTTTAATTAATAGCACACAGGTGCTCTAAGAAGACTCTTTTTTCCAGGATATTATTAATAGCAGGAGGAATTGATAAAGGAAAACCCTCCAGTGCCCTTGACCTGAGGATTTTTGGCTCGTGTTGAGATTTTAACTTGCTTCAAACGCTCTTTCACAGTGTAACTTTTACAACACTTGGTCTTGTGGGCAGTAAATTCTCTTTACGAACGGTCTAACGATGGTACCTCGTTAGGAGTCTTACTCTTCAACCAGAAATCTGGTTAGAGATTATCACTAATGAGTGACCACCAGTTAATCACCGCGGCTTCAAAAAGGACTTTGTGGCAGCATAGCTGGTCGTGTAATTACTCTGAATCATTCCTTATTTAAATTCAGGTCCTCAAAGACCCTGGCACCGGGCTCAGACCCGTGAGCCCTCAGGCTGTCTCCGTGCCCGGGGAGGGCCCCGTGACGTCCGTCCGTCTGTCCCTCCGCAGGTTCATCCAGCGCAGCCCCGTCACGCTGCTGCGCAGCCAGGTGATGATCCCCATCCTGCAGTGGGCCATCGCCGCCACCACCCTGGACCACCGGGACGCCAACTGCAGCGTCATGAAGTTCCTGCGCGACCTCATCCACACCGGGGTGGCCAACGACGTGAGTGTCTGTCCCCCCCCTCCGGCGTCCCCAGCGGTCCCTGCTCCGCTCCCGGCGGGTGTCCCCCGGCCCGCCAAGCTCACGCCCTTCCCTCCTCTTCCTCCCGCAGCACGAGGAGGACTTTGAAGTGAGGAAGGAGCTCATCAACCAGGTGATGAACCAGCTGGGCCAACAGCTCGTCAACCAGCTGCTGCACACGTGCTGCTTCTGCCTGCCGCCCTACACCCTGCCCGACGTGGCCGAGGTGCTCTGGGAGATCATGCAGATCGACCGGCCGGTGAGCGCGGGCCAGGGCCGCCACGGCCGGGGGGACCCGTCTCTGGGGACGGGCGACGGGCTCGGTCAGTAGCGTACGGGTGCTCGGAGAAGACTCTTTTAGGATATAATTAATAGCAGGAGGAATCAATAAATAGATACGGGTTTATAGGTTTAATGAATAGGATAGAGGTGCTCTGAGAAGACTTCTTTTTAGGATATGATTAATAGCAGGAGTAATTGATCAATAGATATTGCTTTATAGGATTAATTAATGGGATACAAGTGCTCTGAGAAGACTTTTTTTGGGGTATTAACAGCAGGAGTAGTCGATAAATAGATATTGGTTTATAGGTTTCATCAATAGGATACAAGTGCTCTGAGATTCTTTTTTTTTAGGATCTAATTAATAGCAGGAGTAGTTGATCAATAGATGTGGGTGTAGAGGTTTAATGAATAGCAGAGGTGCTCCGAGAAGACTTTTTTGGGGGATATAATTAATACGAGGAGGAATTGCTCACCAGCTGCGGGTTCATGGGTTTGTCAGGACAATACCGACAGCGCAGTGCCCACGCTGCTCGTGTGTGCCCTGCACCCAACCCTCCTCGGGGCTGCCTGAAAACCCAGGCGAGCCGAATTACCAAAAATCCGTCTTGGGTGTTAAGTGTTAGACGTACCAGAAGATGAGAAATAAGCGATCGGCTTGGCTAAGCAGCGTGGGGAGGCCGGGTGAGGAAACGTTCCACAGGTGAAGGATCTGTGAAACGGAACATCTCGAGGGTTTTGCCTCAGCAGTGTGAAGGTGAATTAGGATGAACCCGCATCCTGCCCCCGGAACGGGTTTGGCTCCTGGGGCTGAGCTTCTCCTTGCCTCTCGCCTCCCGCAGACGTTTTGCCGGTGGCTGGAGAACTCGCTGAAGGGGCTACCAAAGGAGACGACGGGGGGAGCCATCCAGGTCACACACAAACAGCTGACGGATTTCCACAAGCAGGTCACGAGGTGAGCAGGGCTCGGGGGACCTCCGCAGCCCCCTCCCGCCCGCTGCTGGCCACCGCCTGGCCTCCAGTAGCCACAGAGTGGAAGGCCTGGCTTTGCCGAGGGCACCCGCTTGCCTTTTCCATCCCCGAGGGGGGGTTTCTGCTCCCGCCCTGCTGGGTTGGTTTCACAAGCCACCTCCTCGCTCCTCCGAGTCACGGCGGCAAGCAGCGGGCCAGCACCCACCCTC